CCCCCCCCCCCCCCCCCGTGGCCACTGGGGTAAGCTCCGGACAAGTTTTCGGTAGCTGGGGAAGCTTTTCACTGCGAGGTCGGCTTGAGCCCTAAGCGCCAATCTGCGCCAACACATGCGACTTTGCTTGCTGTACTGCTTCCGAGAGCCCAGGGAACTTCTAGGGCTTCAAGAATAGTAAACGCGGTAGTAGTCGTGGTACTAGTAGTAGGAGGAGTACCAGCAGAAGTGGATGTTGAAGTATACTGGGAGTTGTCATCTTGATAGAGGGAACAGTCAATACTACTAGTCCAAAAAGCTCCAAAAGCAGCGCATTGTCTTCGACCTGGAGATGATCGCCATGCAGCTTAGGGGGCCTTCGCCATTATCGACCCAACGAGAGTTCCTTGCGGCCTTAGCTTAACTCTGAACCCTGCGCACAAAATATTGTCCGCGTTGTGAAGCCAAAGGGAATCACAGCCATTTTACCAAGCATAAAAGGAAGACATGCGGGGAGGGAGGTCGGGTGAACAAAAAATCCGAAATCCTATTCAACAATGTAAGGTCCTACACCAAGTGTGCTGAGAGGGGCTAACAAGGTATATACCAGGCAAGTAAGGACCCCAGGATTAACGGCCCATATTAGGGGCCTTTGGTTAGGACCCTGAAAACAAGCTTGGGCATGGGCGTTTATAAGGCTATATAGGACTATATACGGTAACTGTATATGGGGCTATATAGGGTAGGTCGGGTACCTTGGCCAAGGGATTCTTGCGGAGAGGTACCGGGCCTGTAGCGGATGTGTTCATTACACGCAGGGGTTCCATCATCTCCGCTGGGCTGCGTAGGCCAAGAACATCTACATGGTTTTGTAGATTTTGTTTAGGGTTCAGGGCTTACAGGAGCCAGTCAATATTTCCCAGATAATTAATGGACACGGGTTCCTTAATAGAGACTACATTAGGGACTGTACTAAACTACCACAGGGACCCTATGTCCATCCTTAAAAATAGTATGGATATAGGAACCCAAAGAGCGCAAAGCGCTCCCATGCGTGATGCATCTACTTTGCTACGAATGTTTAGGGTTGGGGTAACCCTCGCTGAGAATGCAGGGCCTTAGGTACAGGCATCCTCCTCAGAAGGAAACTGCCAAAAAACTGGGTTGCTGCTAAGGAACTTCATTTAAGTCAGTATACGGGGGAAGCCTTATTATTTACTATATATATATATATATATCTCCAGTATGGTAACCAATCCTAAACCCTATATACCCTAAACCCTAAACCCTGTACACATATACCTACTATGGTAACTCAATCTAAGTTCCTTAACAGCAACCCAGAAAACAAGCCACCCAAGCCTGGTATTCGAGCCCTTCAACCCACCAAAACGAGACTGGCAATGCAAGAGGAAAAGTTTGCCTTCTTTAGGGTTCAGGGCTTAGGGCTTAATTAGGGTTTAGGGTTGCATCCTAAATCCTAAATCCCAAACCCTAGCGAAACGAAGGGGATCAGCCCTTCAAAGCTTCCGAACAGTCGTTCCTCAGCCCTTGGCTATCCTCAACTAAAAGAGTCTCCTACCCCACTCTCATTCTCTAGGGATCCAAGTATAGGGTTTAGGGTCTAGGGTTTAGGGTGACCTGCATCGGGCCCTAAAGCCTTCCGATATTACCTACATTGGGCCAGTGGAATCTCTAGGGATTTTCAGCCAACGATCAGCAGTGCGTTAATTTCGGGAAGCTTGCTGAAGAAGAGGGATGAGGTGCGAATGCCAAAGTAAAGCTTCTCAGAAAATCAGGGTCTGCCTGTATGAGCTGTAGTCTAAGCTTCTGGTATCCACATTAGTGACCTTATAAATAGTCCCATATATAATTAACCCCTTAAGGAGTTTAGACTAGCCTCAACGCCGTAGATCCTTGTTGTAGGCACTCCTCAGGACGTTCTCGGCCTTTGAGAACTACAACAATGAGGACTGCACCCTACACTGAACCCCCTACACCCAAACCACCTCAAGCCCCAAACGCTTCACCCTAAACCCTCTTTGTATATCCTTTGTATATCTCCATATGTGTTTGTGTATGCTTTCCCTCCCTAACTAGACCCTTGTAGATAGCCCTGTAATGCCCGCCCCCTTTTGGGCAGGAGACTCTAAACCCTAAGCCCCCAACCCTAAGCCCTGAACCCTAAACCCTAAACCCTACGCCCTAAACCCCTGAGCCCCAAACCCTAAGCCCTACACCTTACACCCTAAACCATACCTGACCCACAACCCTCCTCGGGCCTGACCCACAGAGTTTCACGGCCTCCGTGGGCTGCTGGGGCCGCGTGGAAAGCAGCAAAGGAACCTGGGAACTCCAGGCCCTACTAGTAATAGTGATATATATATAATAGTAGAAATAAGAGTTTAGGGTATAGTAATAATATTACCGTAGTGATATATAAAGGTAGAAATAAGGGTTTAGGGTTTAGGGCTTAGTAATAATATATAATGATATATTACAGTAGAAATTTGTTGTTGTTGTTGTTGTTGTTGTTAAGCACGCCTTTTATCCTCTGCTTCAAGAAATAAGAAATGAGGGTTTAGCGTTTGGGTTTAGGGCTTAGTGATAGTATTACCGTTGATAGGAAAAATATGCATGACCTTAGTATACCATAGTACCAGTCTTGCCAAGGTATGAGATACCTAGGGTCATGCAGGATTTTTCGCATCCACCGTAGTGATATATGATAGTAGAAACAATAATGATTAATAGTAACAGGCTTAGTAATAATAGTGACTGTAATAGTAATACAAACAAGTACTAGTAGTTCATAACAGTAATAGTAATGGGTGCTTGATTAGGGGCGCCCAAAGAATTAGGGTGCATGGTTAAGGGGCTAGAATCGGTTTTGATGGGTTTTGTAGGGAATGAGGGTTTCTAGGTTTAGCGCCGTAGGGTTTCAACAGGCCGTGGATTTATCGTTGCAAATCCTATTTGGAGGCTGAAAGTAATCACCCAGTTACGCCTGGTCCGCATTTGGAGGTTCATGGGAACTTAGCAAGTAGGTTAATACTAGCGATAATTGGGGTTCTTGTGTGGCCTGTAGGGCTTATTGAACTACTTTCAAAGTCCCCCTGACCTTCCAAGTATAACCCAACTACAACCAGATAAGGGGGCTCAGGGGCCCTACAGCTGAGGTATAGGCGGCTAGGACCCCTGTCCTTCTACCCTCAAACAGGGTACCAATAGTATGTATGTATACGGTATACTAAAGGGTAATTAGGAAGAGGGTCTGAGAGAAAAAATATAATAGTTGCCCCACATACCCTAAACCGCGTGGTAGTATTGACCGGAACCTCGAAGCGCTGAGGGCTTATTACCCTAAATCCTAAACCTTAAGTTATTTTGCAGCCTCCGTCTTACAAAAAGGACTCCACGGGTACTTGGAGGTCTGGGGTAATTCTAGGCCAGCTGAGTAGTATCTTATTTGGGGATACTATGGTACCCATTATAGAGTAAGATTGTATCCTCCTTTTGGGGTATAGTATTTTATAAAAGGAATATTATCTTACTAGGTTTTATAGGCCGCCGAGTACAGCTAGCCTATAAGTTGTAGGTACCCCAGTCTCCAAGTATACCAGGAACGGTGGTTGGAACTAAAACTTCTGCATGGCTCTAAGAACCTCGTACCTTGAGAGGTATTCTAGTATACTACAACCATGCAAGATTTTAGGTATGAGCAATTGGCAAAGTTTCATGCGCATCTGGTTCATTTGGGCTTGCACCACGCCAGGATTCATGTAGATCTTCTCGCCTGGAACGACCTTGGCGGCAAGCAAAGCAAACCCAACCCCACCGCTCCAAACCCCTTTGTCGAACGAAGTAAGCTACCTGTAAACAGACCAGATCAAATCCATGTTGGTTCCAGGTATGATAACCTCTTCTTTCATCGAGCCTTGAAACCTCCTGCCGGGAAGGAGCTGCTCCTGTTCACCAATGAGTTACGGGTGTTGCACGGATGAAAAAAGCATTTGATCTGAAATTTGAATGAACTCTATGCAGCTCAAACTTCAACCTTGATCACTGAACCACACCCCAGCAGGCCAACTAAACCCACGCCCAAACCATCAAAAAAAAAGAAATGTAGCAAGGCGACTGACTCGAAGTTCTTGCTTAGACAGCTGGCCCTAAGTAGCCTTGGCTACTTCAATGAGAAGATTTTAGTAGCCACAAGTCATCCCACAATAAGCAACCCATAGTTCAAGGGTCCTGATTTGGGGTTTAGGGTTTAGGACCAAAGCCTCCTTCTTGACTGATGATAGCATGTCAGATATGCCTATATACTGCATCCTGCTGCAGAGGTTGATGAACATCTCATACGTTCGGGCTCGCTTGTATGGAAAGTTGTCAAGAAAGTGCCACAAAACCTTTGGTTTTCAGGAGGTATCAAGCGTGTGGATCTGCATCAGCTCAAACCCACTACGATCTGTGAGAGGTTCTACACGTAGCCATTCTGTTTAGAACCTGATAGCCTGGCAGTTTGTACGAACCACCATTGAGCTACTTCGCCGAGCTATACTGCTTTGTGAGACATGCCAAGAGACCCCGATCCTACACTCTAAAACTAGGGTAAGCGCCCTAATCTCTAACGTGGTTTGGGGTTTAGGGTTTCCTAAGCCCTACCCAACCCTGAACCCCCTAAACCCGAAACCCCAAAGAGATGTGCTCTCTAGGGCTGTGGCGGCGAATTGCTCCTGCCCGCTGTCTGCTTCAGGTTGATGGACTCTGAAGTTTGACTCTGAAGTTTGTGTTTTAGGGTTTAGGCTTTAAAATTGAGGGTTCGCGATGCAGGGTTGAAGGTTAAGGATGCAGGGCTCAGGGTTTAGGATGCAAGGCTTAGGGTCTATAGGATTGCGTGATTCGCATGTAGGTTTAAGATGTAGGGTTATGAAGCTGAGGTATTTGGGCTTCTAGATATGAGGCTGCGGGCCTGGAGTGGATCGCTAGCATTCGGGTGTAGGATTCAAATATCGGGCTATAGGGTTTAGGGCTTTGCGATTCGTATTTATGGCTATAGGGTTTAGGGCTTTGCGATTCGTATTTATGGCTTAGGACGCAGGGATTATTGGCTTGAGGACTCCATAGTTAGTTGGCATGCAGAGTTTAGGTTAACTGGGACTCAGGGGCAAGGATGTGGGGGAGCTCCGGGCTCAGCGTTGAACATCCCTACCCTAAACCCGAAACCGTACTTGACTGTAGGAGAACCGGGCCCTGGACAATGCAATAGATCAGGCACACGCCCGTTGAAGCCCAAGAGCAAGTCCTCAAAAAGTCGTGCTCCAACTTTTCACCTGAAAGTCCAAGCCCCTACCGAAAACACTCTTCTATCTAAAGCTTAGGCGACTGTGAATAGAACCCTGAACCTGCTGGAAACCCTGCAAAACAAGCAGTGAGAGCCAACCCGAAGTAAGCCCCCAAACTGAGTAGGCACACTACAACAGAAGACCACTATTTTGTGTCCTGCCCACGCCCTTCAACAGTCTATAGCAGGCGTCATACAAAGGGCTACATGCAACTTAGATTATGAATATTATCCAGCTCTTGCTGCGTGGGGGCAGTACCCAACTAGTCATCTGCAACGGACATACTCAGACCAGAGGACATGACCTGGTTACAACTTAGGCCCCTCCACCCTAAACCCTATTATAATCCCTAAACCCTTAAACCATGAAACTCCACTCGACGCAACCTTAGAACGCCGCTTACCAACAAAAGCCCTGCCGTCAACTTCAGCTGTGCGGTAAACCACTCCGTTCCACACAAATCGCCCAAATGCAGTAGGACCGCTCAGCTCACTTTGAGGAGTAGGTACACGTCCAGTCATAGTGACCCCATCTCGCAATTGCCAACTGAGCTTGGACGGCCAGCGCGGTTCCGGTAAAAATGACAAACAGAACCATCGTGGACCAGGAAGGTGTAATCCGCCAGAACAGCAGCGCGACACTGGTCTAGAGTTCCAGTCGCAGTGAAATCGGTTGATCCATCGGGAGCCTCTTGGACCCAGGTAAAGACCCGGCAGAATTCGAACAAATCACCAAGAAGAGGATTCCCTGAGCCCCTAAACGCCTAAACCCTAAACCCTTGGCCCTGGGTCATTCCGCCGCGCAATAGCTGTCCTTATAAAGCAGTTTCATTACCGTGCTCTTATGACTCCTATTACGTTTTGTGGCACTTGTTACTGAAAAGGGGAACGAGCAAACCCAAACCCCTAAACCCTGAAATCTATAAACTCTTAACCCTAAACCCAAGCCCGTAAACAACCTAAACGCAAACCCCTAAACACCTAAACCCTAAACCCCAAAACACCTAAACCCTACAACCCTAAACAACCTAAACCCAAACCCTAAAACCCTATGACCCTAAATCCATAACCCTAAACCCTACAGCCCGGGGGTCCGTCTTCAAATCTTGGCAGATCTGGCCTCGGATAGGCGGGCGCTGTCGGAATTCAAATGCGTTCTAGTTATATGGGGGTTTAGGGTTCAGGCTTTAGGGGTTTAGGGTTTAGGTTTTAAGGGTTTAGGCTTTTGGGGTTCCCAAAATTAGGGGTACCATTTTGGGGGTCCCCATAATGAGGATTATAATACTTTGGGGTCTATATTGGGGTCCCCCTATTTAGGGAAAGTACCACATACGGTTGAGGGGTTTAGGGTTTACGGTTTCGGGTTTAGGGATTAGGGTTTAGGGTCTGGGGCCAAGGGGTTTAGGGTATAAAGGGTTTGGGGTTTAGGGCTTTGTGGCTGAGGGAGCTTCACTTTGCCTCTAGTGCGGCCACTTGCTTAGACCCAGGAGTCTCCTTGGAAGGGGGTCATTTCACACCAACTATCTAGACCCTCCTCCTACCCTCTATTATGGCCTAAGTACCTACTATAAGGGACCATATATCCCCAATTAAGGGTACAAGGAGGGTCCTGGTAAAATCCCTCTTGAATCCTCCTGCCTTGAGCGGTCGCCAAGGTTGTCCGACCGCAAGCATCGAAGTCAGGACCCCCTCTCCCAATAAAATCACTCTAAACACTACACCTTGGGTACTGCCCCCACCCAGTAACAGTCTATATTAGGGGTCCTATTAAGGGCTGTATATAACCAAAAATTGAATATTATCCAACTGTTACTGAGTGGGGGCAGTATCCACACTACACCCTAAACCCTAAACACTAAACCCTTAGACCCTAATCCCTAAACCCTAACAACATCACGGGGACACTGCAGCGATTCGTAGCCAGGAAGTGAGGTCCCGAACCCCAAAAATTGAAGATTCTGACTTCCACTTGGACCCTTAAACCCTACCTATAGACCCCAAAGTATGTATGGTTTAGGGTTTCGGGTTTTGGGATTTAGGGGTTGGGGTTTGGGGCTTAGGGTTTAGTTAACCTACTTTTGGGGTCAGCTACCCTTGTTTTGGGTACCTAACTTTATGCCTGGTTTCTTCTATATACGAAGCTAGGTACCCTAAAAAGGGGTCGGGTTTGAAGGGTCTAGGCAGTTCTTTACTAAGGCCGGTGACAGCGGGAGGGCACAAAGAATGGCCCAGGAGCCGATCTCGGCAGACACCTAAAACCCAAAAGCCTACACTTCCCCAAACTAACATGGAAACCCATATAGTACCCTTTTTAGAAGGACTGTAGTCTTTATTGGGCCCTTTTTGGGTTTCCACGTTAGTTTCCGGGAGTGTAAACCCTAAAGCTCGAAATCTCCGACCTACTTCTGCTTCGTTACTAGGAGCCCTAGGGCCCTAGGAGCCTCTACATGTACATACCTAAGGGTCCAAGTACCCAATAATTAGGTACCTGGGTTTTGAGGACTAGTAATTGTGGTACAGGTTTTGGGTGGAGTATATGAATATTGAGTACTTGGACCCTTAGGGATAGACAGGGCTTAGAGTTAAGGGCATACGGCGTAGAAAACCGTACCATTGCAGAATCCCAACCGCCGCCTCAATCAGGATTCGGACAAGCTGGTGAGCGATGTGATGGATCTCGAGAAAGACTCGGGAGATTGGCTTCGGGTGCGCGATCCGACTCGGGCAATCGAGCGTTGGGAGCGGATCACAGAGAGCAGGATGGAGCGCTGGGCAAGAAAGAAAACCTTTCACTTGGCCAAACCGTGAGGGTCCAAGTGCTCAATATTCATATACTCCACCCAAAACTGTACTACTATTACTATTACCCAAAACCCAAGTACCTAATTATTGGGTACTTGGACCCTTAGGGAAAGCTTCACGGATGTCTCTTGAAGAGGCTTCCACTGGTGCATTTGCTCCACGATCTAGGCCATTTTGTAGATTCCCACAATTAGGGGTACCATTTGGGGGGTCCCTATAATAAGGACTATAGTATTTTAGGGTCTATATTGGGGTTCCCCTATTTAGGGAAACTACCATTTGCTCCGCGTGCTTGGCAACACTCACCCAAATACTCTCGTGTATGCACATCTTAACCCCCCCCCCCTTTTCAAGCTTGTCAGCAGGGCAAACAAAAGGCGAAAGCATGTTGCGAGGGACCTTAAAAGAGGCTGGCATGGCAAAAATTCTGAAGCCCTAAGGCCACATCATTAAACTCTAAACCCTAAACCCATCCGTAAACCCGGACGCCTAGAAAGTAGAACGTCAAGACTAGAAGGACTCCATCAGGAAACCCTCTTTGAGGGTCTTCCCTGTTTTGGAGGCCCCTAGTGGTCATGGCTTGGAATTTTGGGTCTAGTTTTTTGGTGAGGATTTTCCCAGGCTCAACCTGGTTTGTACGGAGTTTCGTGGTACCCAATGAGGTCAAAGCCTATCTTCTGCAGGTTGGTTCGCCTAATGCTGAGCCTCCTCAACCCACCATAATGTATATTCCCGCAGCGATATCCCAATCTTATACACAACTAAGCCATACAGGAAGCTTAGTCATAGGTGGGGGTAGTATTTGAGAAATAGAATAGAACCCCAAATCGCTAATTGCAGCCCTGAACCCCAAACCCTAAACTTCTAAACCCCAAACGCCGAACTGCTTATCCTTAAATCCCTTAGCCTATATGAGCTACGGCCTAAACTCCTTGTATCCTCCTTAGTATCCCCATATAAGAATCCCCTATATAACCCCCTTTAAGGCTTTAAGGAGTTTAGACTATAGCCTATCTGCAGATGATTTTGAGGAGCCCAGCGGCGCGCTTCGCGCAGGCGTGCGCAAGCCCCCAGGTGATGACGCAAGAGAGCGGCCTCCGCCTGAAGTATAAAGTGTATAGTCCCCCTTAAGTAGATAGAATCTGTTAGGGTTATATAGGGATAATGGAAAAGAAAATGGAATCTACTATTCAGGGTTTAGGGTTTAGGGCTTATAGTCCCCCTGAAGTAGATAGAATATAGGGTTTAGGGTTTAGGGATTAGGGTTTAGGGATTCGGGTGTAGGGTTTAGGGATTAGGGTTATAGTCCCCCTGAAGTAGATAGGATAGAATATAGGGTGTATTCTTGGGGTTATATAGGGATAATGGAAAAGAACATGGAAAGTACTATAATGGGCTATATGGGGTTTAGGGTGTGTAGTCCCCCTGAAGTAAATGGAATATGCAGTATATGGGGATCTTGTTATAATATACCCAAAGCCTTATTCTATCTACTTAAGGGGGACTATATTTTCTGAAGGGACATGAAAGCTTCAGGGGAATTACGGGGCCCCTTCGAAGGAGTTGAGTAGGTCTTAGGATTCAGGGGCCTACACAATCCCTAAACCCAGATCCAACTTCAAATGCTGCGGAAGTGTATAACTTACCCAACCAAGAAACACAAAGTTTGTTTATTCCCGCGTACGTTACAAAGGCGATAGCCCGTATGATAGCCCCCCTATATGTAAACCCAGGCTTCATGCAATGTTGTCTACCATCAGGTTTAGGGTCCAGGGTTTAGGCTTTAAGGTTCCTACCGGTTCAAGGATCTCGCCTGGAATTCTGTGGCTCTTCTTCCTACTAACGGCTCTGACCTTGTCCACATATCTGCGGTCTTCGGAGTAAGGCTTAGGGTGTAGGTGCAGTATAGATGGTGGACGTATGAAGGTTACATACAGAACAATAAGTTCAGGCTCTTGCAAGATGCCGGAGACAAGTTCTCTCAGAACGTCCTGTGGAGATACTGTATGGCTGAGCACTTTCGCTGTACCCCTCAGATTTTAAACTGGTTCAGCGTTCAGCTCACTATGTCACTAGTATTCTTGGTGAGGCACATAAACCCTAAACCCTAAACCCTAAACCCTAAATGACCTTAGCATTTTGGGGGTTTATGTTCACTCCAAGGCTTTGGGCTGAACAACCCAAACTCCATGGCACTACTAGAGATCTCCACTGCGACCAACGCAAGTGCATCTCCGGACCATGCACTTCAGGAAAGAACTACAGCTGAAGCTGCTGCCGTTATGCATGATCCCTAAGGGTCCAAGTCCCCAATAATTAGGTACTTGGGTTTTGGGTAATAGTAACAGTAGTACAGTTTTGGGGGAGTATATGAATATTGAGTACTTGGACCCTTAGGGGAGGCTAGTAACGGAGGTACAATGAGTTCCGAAGGTATAGGGCATTTAGGATCATGCAGCATTCTTGCTCTCAATATCATCACCATTCACAACCCAGAGTCCTTTCAAAGGAATTTGGGAGACCATTGCCCGCTGAGCCATGAACTGGTCTCTGACCTGAATTCGGCCGCTTCCGTGATTACCCTATACATCACAAACGCAAAGCCCTTAAGCTTTGGGTTCAGAGCTTACGGCGGGCGAAGCCCAAACAATCGAGTTTGAGGGTTCCCCAATATATGCCTACAATCACATGCACGACGTTGAGGGCTAGCGGAGGTGCGAGTAGAGGGGAAACCATCGAAAGGAGCGAACAGTATTGCATTCTCTCTCTGCCCAAGCTAAAGAAGTTCAAACTTGATATTAATTACTAAAAAAGGAAGTCCAAAAAGGCTCAAGTTCTTCTATTGGGTAAGTAAGTTTTTGGGTGCGCCTTCAACCCTTGTCCCTTAAACCGAGACCATGCGTTTTCGAAGCTCCAGCTGCGCACCAGGCCTGGGTTTTTTACCCTAGGGCTCCCGTTGCCTACACAATTGGTTCCGGATTCCATATGCTCTATCAATACATTGCAAAGTCAGCTAGTTTTCACGTACTGGGAGCTCTAGAGTTACACAATGTATTTCAGTAAGTCTTTGGGGAGGGCATCTGCTCGGTTGGCCGCCTTCTGGCGGCGAAGCATGTAGGACCCTACTGGTATCCAGTTTGCTGGAACCTCATGAGGGAGTTTCTCAGGAGAGGGTGCTCTCAGGGATCGAGAAACCCTAAACCCTAAACCTATCTGGTATCAAGGGGGCGGGTCCCTCTTGAAGACTTGAGGGTTTAGGGTTTAGGGTTTGAGGAATACCCAAGGACAATTCGGAGAACTTGTCCTTTATCTATGCTACAGGAGCCCGATCCATCTCTAGATCTACACTAAACACACATCTTGCACCATCCTATATCCTGTTCAATCCGGTCCTTCGGTAGATTCCCTAAGACTCGCTTTCTAAGGTCTTTTTGAATTGTCCTAGTTGTTCTATGTTTTTTTTGTGGGGGGTGGTGGTTTCTGCTAGGAATGTACTCGAGTTGTTCAAAGGGCTGAGAAACTCGCACTCTGCAGGGTGCAGGCAAGCTGTCTGCTCGCCTTACCATCTGAGCAGTGCTTTTGCTTTCTTGTTGGTTGAACCAAAGGATTAGGGTTTAATCGGTTTAGGTATTAGGGGTTTAAGGATTGAGGGTTAGGGTTTGGGGCATATGTGCTTCTAGAAAATGCAATAGTCAACAGGAGGACATAGTCTTACCCTCTATGGGGACTGTGGTATCCTCAGCAAAGCACCACTCATCTGGTCTGAACTTCTTACCCAATGGCTCGGGTGGACTTGAGGTCTCGCAGTACCCTTCTCGGACTAGGCTGCAGGCTTTAACAAGAAATAAGGGCTTCTGGCCTGGAGTTTAATGTGCTCAAGACTTAGGGCCTAAACCCTAAAAGACTTACTTGGATAGGTGGGGGTAAGGGTTTAGGGCTTCGGGTTTGGGACCTCGAGGTGAAGGTCTGAGGCGTAGCTTTCCTGAAAAAAAGGTATTGATCATAGCATAATGGGGTCCATGTTAGGACCTCTAATTATGGAAACTACCACGTATGGAGTATTGCCGATTTAGGGACAGCCTTTGTAAACACTCCTACGACGCCTAAAAAGCCTAAGCCCCAACAAGAAATATCACCCCACTACACAGGAACAAGAAGGTCACCTATTGCCAAGGGGGTGGCAGTGGCCTATGCGGAAACTGTTCAAGGTGAATCTCTACCTCGTAGTTTCCATAAACTATACCCCCCCGAATACTATGATCCTTGCTATGGCGGCCCCCCCAAAAGTACCCCTAAACCCTACACACCCTAAACCCTAATTCCTAAACCCTAAACCCCTAAACCCTAAACCCAAGGTTTCCCTTAAAAATGGCCTCCGTGCACCCAGAGCTCGAGTTGCTCAGAGGCTGCTAAATGGGTCGTCGCAGACTTCAAACGAACTGATGACTCGGAATCGCTCTAGTCCCCCTTAAGTAGATTGAATTTTAGGGGATTTCTAGTGATAATGGAAAATAAAATGGAAACTGCTATTTAGGGTTTAGGGATTAGGGTTAGAGTCCCCCTTAAGTAGATAGAATATGGCTCTGGGTATATATTAGAATAAGATCCTCATATACCCCATATGCTACCTACTTTAAGGGGGACTATAACCCCAACTACCTGCAGCTTCATGGGTCAGTCATACCTACTAATGCAAGGGGTGGTCGCTTACTACCAACATGTAGGTGGTTGGCGTTACAGGTATGTTTTAGGATTCACTCCCACACAATAACAGTCCTGTGTAAGCACAAAACCCCCAACCCTAAATATCCCGCCCCACCCCCCCCTCAAAA